TATAGAGATAGCAAAAATGTTAAGTTCTTTTTTTTTCTTCCCAAGTGATGATGAAAACTACTCAGCTTTCCTAATGCCTTCAATCCAGCGAGGCTGATCACTTCTTTCATTGGGAAATAGAAAGAAAGTCCATTACATTGAGCAAAATCAATAATCATGGTATAAAAGTATCTTTGTCGGCTGAACTTTTCTCTCAGAGATGAAAGGTGATCACATTTATCCATTAGTTCACATTGATTGTGCAAGATGCAAGAAAGCGCTTGATTAGCCATTTTTATGGGTGCACTACAATTGCTCATGTTTTCTTTATACCTAAATTTATCACAGCAAAAGATGCAATAATTATTATTTTGAAAAATCATATATTTTTAAACATTTTTTATTTTATTTTTTTAGATTTTTTGGAACACCGATGTTCAAGAAAATTAAATAAAATAAAAACTTAAAAATTACAAAATACTTATTTAGTTGAGGATATTTTCTCCCTAAAAATACCGTTGTGTTGTTCTAAAGCATCAAAGTCCCATTCAAACCACTAAACAAATAAATAAAAGCAGCAAAAGTGCTTTTTTTCACACATGAAGTATCGCTAAGATGATGCAGTGACTGCAACAGTTGTGTGAGCTCTCTCTCTTCTCTCTCCTCCATCTCATCTGTACTATCTTACTCTTTGTCTCTTTCTTTCAGACCCTGTTTTTTCATACTGGAAGAGGAGGGGTGAGGGGGTGGGTCATTATTCTATTTAAGAGGTACAATTTTAGTAATGGCTTTTGCTGCAGTCCACAGAGGCACAGCCAGCCTCCCTCAATATCCTGAACATTATTTGCTCGTTTAGTTAAATTATGTTTCTAATTGGTTCATAATTAGTTGTAATGAGGCGGGCCCGAACGTCTCTGATGCAGATACGTCTTAATTCAACATGGCATCTCGCTTCTTCAGGAATAGTTGCCCATGGTTCTCGGAGGGTTGGAAGCGAGAGGAAGGCTGGAAGGGGGAGGTTTCCTGCCATTGTGTGTTCCCGTAAAATTGGAAAATGAAGTTTGAAGAGCAGTAGGGTTGAAGACCGGGCCATCGTGAGTGCTGCTGCTGTCTTTCTTAAATGATCTGGCCAATTGTCAAGAACCAAGTAGGGCTGTTACTTTGACATAGAACAGACAGAATAGAGTATTTAGAATGGTGTGTTGGAGATTTGTTTCATAAATGTTTACTAAAACATAAATTTTTTATGGTAGATGCAAATTTTGTGTGTGTGTGTGTGTGTGTGTGTGGGTCTGTGCTCGTAAGTGAATGCTGTGAAAGAGGGAAACTGAAGGTCATTGCGGCTGGTTGCTGTTAACATAAGACCCTTTTGTGGTTTGGATAAATGAACATGTCCATTCACTGGAGCCCATGCACTCACCCCTTTTAAGCAGAACAGCCTAGTAATACACACAGACACACACAAACACTATCACACTTATATACACACACACAATCAGTGGTGCCCAATCACTTCGCTTAAACAGCTCTAACAACTGCATGTAGAGCCAGTCCGTCTGCCATCCCTCTGCTCTCTGTTGATTTTTCTCGCTCTCTTGTTTTCTTTCTCTCACCCACATCCCCAGATAAGCTTACTCATTTGTTGAGATTCATGTTGTAGTAATTTAACATACAATATATAATTGTGTTTCTATGGTTAAATATAAAATATAAATATCTATCTATCTATGAAGATAAATTTCATCCCGCATGCTAAAAAAATGATAAAATAGGGCACAATGTACTTTATTAATATGAAGGATTTTTCCTTATGGTTTTTTTTTTTACTGGTGTTTTACCTATATTTTGAATTTTGCACTGCTTTGTGTTAATGAATAAGTTCCTGGCAGAAAATTACCAGTACATTTTTTTACATAAAATTATTTGTATTTCAGTATTATGGATTTCAGTATTATTTAAATTGTTTTTTATTTTATTTTATTTTTTATACATATTGCTTAAGATTCTTCCCAGTAAATATGAATATGTATCTATGTATATATCTATCTATTTGTCCCCCAAGTAAACCCACACACTCATTGTTTCTCACCTGTAAGGTAATCAGTGTAGGTGGAAGGAAAAACCTGATTAGAGAGATTTATAGACACTAGGAGGCAGGGGTCACTCAGGTGTGAGGCGAGTCAGGTAAATGTGAAATGCACCTGTGCTTTATAAAGACAGCTTGAGTGATGAAGTCACAAACATGATTGCAATCTATCTATATTAGTCTTTGTGTGTATTTATGTGTGTATTTATGTATTTACATGCCTAATATTCTTTTTTAACTTTACAGGTATTTGCTAAGTATTGCAGTAGGCAGTGTTTAACTTTAACAAAAAAAAAAGATGAGGTTTATGTTGCAAATGCCCCGGAGAGCACTTGACTGAGGGTGTTTTTAGTAAATAAGCAACTCGGTTTTTGAGATATCTCTGCATAAAGTGCCA